CTGTTCTGACCCCCACCTTATTCGTGTTCAGAAAAGACAGCCAGACAGAACTTCAAAGGAAATATTTTTATCAGTCCCGGCTCGGGCTGGCTGCGAGCCCAAAATAAACAGATAAATTCTCTGGCAAAACGTTAAGCAGCAAATGCAAAAACAAACTCTTACAGCCACTCACTTTTCCAAATTGGTTTCTCTGAATCATGAACACGAATGGGGAACCTTGACTAGAACAGGAACGGAACAGAACGAAAGTTGACTTCTGCAACCCGGGCGTGGCACCATCAGTCTTTTATCCGCAGGAGATCCTTAACGAGCCACAGCTGCTCGTTATCCTCTCCTATGAGCATCCTGAAATCACTCACAGGAGGTTTCTGTGTCAGAGTCTGATAGCAGTTTCAAAGGCTCCTACCGAGCCACAACAGGGTCTTATTTTCTTTTGACCCACAAAATAAGCGCTTGGCTTATTTTCGGGAAGGTCTTATTATTTTTGAGGTGCAAGCGGCGGCAAGCATGGTAACCTCATTACTCTTGCTGTGTTGCAATATTTTCTAGGTTTATTTTACCTCATTCCTATGAAACAACCCCGCCCCAGTAAAAATAAAGGCACGCTCAACATCTTCTCAAGCACTATGTACAGCTACGTAGTCATTCTGGGACTGGTTTTATTATGAAAAAGTGTATGAAATAATCTACATAACCCCCCTGAAATTTGTGAGGATTTTGAGTTGAGCCAAACTTGATGAAATGGTTTCTTGTTTCACAGCTTTACTAGAAAAATCGTAAACATAACAAGGTCATAATTTTACTTGGAAGAAAGTGCCTGTGATGGAATGGACAGGTAGTCCTCGTATTACAACAACAATCAACTCCAAATTTCTGTTAAGCGAGACAGTTGAGTTTTGCCCGTTTTATTTCTTGCTACAGTTGTCAAGGGAATAACTGCAGTTATTGTTAGTAACATGTAATATGAATCTGGCTTCCCCACTGACCTTGTCGAAAGGTTGCAAAAAGTAATCACATGACCTTGGGACACTGCAGCCATCATAAATATGAGCCAACTGAATGTTAATCAGGTGACCACAGGAATGCTGCAATGATTGTGTGAAGAACAGTCATAAGTCATTTTTTTCAGTGCTGTTGTAACTTTAAATGGTCAGTAAATGGGGATGATTATAAATCATGATTCTTAGTTTGGGGGCCTGATGTCACCTCTGAATATATTAGCAGAGATTTAATCATGGGCACACACTCATAAGCAGCACAATATACCCAAAGGTTTCTCTAAAACTGATGAATTAAAAAGCACTGAAACAACCAAACCCTTCTAAAACAGCAGAAAAAATTAGCTGATTGACATATGAGTGGTTAAATGAAATCTATGGGCGATTTAATATAATTAGACTAGTTTGGACCCTTATCAGCCTTCTGATTACTCAAATACTTTGGGTGGAATTTTCCACAAAATTGTTCTATTCCTCTAAAATTTTTGAGGAACAAATATCTCTTTGGGTTATTTCTTTTATTACAAAAGAGGGTATCAGTCCTGGAAGATATATATTGAGTTTTCTCCAAGTTACTATTCCCATCTCTTAAGAGCCCTGATGGTGCAGTGGTTAGAATGCAGGCAAATGCTGCTCAGAGTCTGGAGTTTGATTCTGACAGGGGTCAAGGTCTTCCGTCCTTAGTCTTCCGTCCTTCTGAGCTGACACTGTAAATAGCCCACTGTGTGCTTAAACACTATGGGGCGATATATTAAAAGGTTCCCCTTGTACATATATGCTAATCGTTCCTGACTCTGGGGGGCGGAGCTCATCTCCGTTTCAAAGCCGAAGAGCCAGCGCTGTCCGAAGACGTCTCCGTGGTCATGTGGCCGGCATGACTAAACACCGATGGCGCACGGAACACTGCTACCTTCCCACCAAAGGTAGTTCCTATTTTTTCTACTTGCATTTTTACATGCTTTCGAACTCCTAGGTTGGCAGAAGCTGGGACAAGTAACAGGAGCTCCCTCCATTACGTGGCACTAGGGATTTGAACCATCAAATTGCTGACCATTCTGATCAACAAGCTCAGCTTCTTAGCCACTGCATCCCTGAGCCAGTATATATCTTAAGTGTTATTGCTATCTCCCACAAAGAATTAGGTGATATAGCTACAGCAAAAATGGTCATAGAGGCAGAGCTGCTAATGCTCCGGAGAGGGTGTTCCCAGAGGCTTATGGACTAAGTTAAGCAGCTCATGAACCTGGGTTCAAAGCCTTTGTCTCCCCCATGCTCCTGGAATATCCTCAGCAGTAGCTTGTATTGCAAGCGAAACAGGACAACTTAAGCATCAGGCTGTATTCTAAAATGCCCCTACACAATGATTAGCGGGACACTATAGCACACAGAGGTCCTGCTCCTTCCCCCACTGGGTTTAAACTAAAGCTCTGTTAATTGTTGGTAAGCCATCTTCACTGCAGCCAAGACCAGGAAAGTTATAAGTTAACATACAAGAGACAGGTCCAGGCACTTCTGCTTTAATGATTTAATAAGTCTGGGTAAGATTCTGGAGCAAATCCAATAAATCAATTTATAAGACCCTTAAAACAATGTCAATAACCACAAATTTACATAGATATATCAAGAACAAATCCTTCCAAAATTATCTTTTGGAAACATAGATTTTAAGGAATCATCTAGTCCAAGAGTGTCAAACTCATGGCATCACGGCATCATCACGTGACATATCGGGACTTTTTTCTGCTTCACTAAACCAGGCGTGGGCCTGGCCAGCGTGTGACGCCAGGAGTTTGACACCCCTGATCTAGTCCAACCTCATGGATTCCCAAGGTAGGAACCCACTTCTCCACTGTGCTTAGCTCTCATTCTTCAATCAAGGACCTCCCTTAGTAGTGGTTATGGAAATGCTGCATGTATAAGTTTCAGAACCAGTGTGCTACAGCAATTATGGTGATCTTGTGAAAAGACACAATTATGTGTCTTTTATTACCACTCCTCAGCTGTGGGAGTGGTAATAAATCCATCTTGATGAGCTTTGACAGAGCACATCCTGAATGTTCCTTCACGATCTAGTTAAGCTTGGATTGATGTTATAACAAGGGATTCATGGCTAACTCAAAAATTATGTTGGAGGATTTCTCAATAGTTGAAGGCATCAAAAGAAGTGCGATCAACTCCTGAATCCTCCATTCTTCAATATCTTCATAATTTGGATGGCAATGCTCATCAGATTTGCTGATGATACAGGCATATACATTTGGGATAATATCCTAAAAACCAAAAATAAAATCCCAACTGATATTGATAGGTTGGAGATATAGGCTAAAAATAACAGGATGAAATATAGCCCAGCAGATGAAATTTCTTCACTTAGCAAACATAAATCAAATCCATAGCGATGAAATGGAAAATATCTGGCTTCATAACTACACTTTAAAAAAAAATTTTTTTAGAACAGCTAATTTACTCAGTAGTTTACAGAGCATCAACCAGTGGTACAAAATGGCCACAAAAACCAAAAAAGCATAAGGCTACATCAATTGAAGCAGAATTTCTGGAGCATACCACCTTCTTTGGCACTAGTCCAGTTCGGGACACTTTGAGGGATGCAGAGAAATTGGAACAGATTCAAAGAATGGCAACCAAGATGATCAAGCACTAGAAACTAAAACTTATAAGATATTTAGCCTAGAGAAGCCTGAGCAGAAATGCATTCTTCACATACCTAAAGGAAGTTACTTTGAAGCAAGTCAAGGTAATTTGTCTATCATGCCTGTATGCAGAATAATGGATTTAAGGAACAGCCATGAAAGTGAAGGGAAAAAAATCTTACTCATTGTAAAAACATTAAATAGTACAACAACCTCCCACAACACTGTATGCACCACTGGCCAGCAAATGGTCTGGCATGCTTTAATTGGATTCCTGTTAGCAGAGGGGTAGAGTGGACAAGGCCTTCCAACTTCTATGAAAAGGAGCCAGAGCCAAGGACAGCACTGACAGGAATCTGCCAACAGAAGAAACAAGACTCAAGCGTCTTAGTTCAGGCACTGATACACCAGACCGTACTGAACTTTTGTGCTTCAAGCAGCAGCCTCTACATCAGCATTGGGTAGCTGCTGGCATACCACCTCAAGCCAATACCACTTTTAGGTTTAGGCAGCTACTTAAACCACTTTTCATAAAAAAGGAAATGCCATAAAAAAAACCCAGGGGGTAAAATTACTTGAGCCATTCTCAAGGTATTTTTAAGAACTGCCAATGAAGAGCAAGGCAACTACAAGCCCCAGGAGCTAGCTCTCCAGAAGGAAAATATTTTTCTTACTTTTATTACCTGCAAATCATAAAATGGTCAAATTATGTTGGAAGCCAGTTTCTCTGCTGATGTCGTCTGGATGTGGGGACTTATAAAGGAACTTACCTTTTATTTTTATAGCTAAGTAAGGAAAGAGATGCCTCCCCTTCAGAGTTTCCCAGGTTTGCTTCTCTTCTTCATGAGAAAGTGTAAGAGTGCCTTTAAAGTGGGTCAACAAAACCAGCACATCTCAAACATGAGCAGTAAGAAAACCTGAATGTCCTTGGGCAGGAGTCCCAAACCTTCTGTCCATGGCTAGGTGGAAACCAGGAAACACTAGTGGGCAAGCAAGTGTGCTGCCTTTGCACTAGCTTCGTGGGCTAATTTGAGATTCCTTTAAGAACTGTGCTCCAGGTTGGAAAAGAGTCTGAGCTGCAATAGTACAGTATAGTCTTTATTGTCATTAAACAAAATAAATACAACTAAATTGGTTAGAAATTAAATAGTCACACAATCCTGCAAGTGGGGCTCACTCCAAGGCAGACTCCAAGTCCAGGGGCCTTCGAATAGCAGGGCCGGCCAGCTCTTCCTGAAGAATCCTTCACTGGGGCTGAGCAAACAAGCTGCTTTGTGCTCTCAGGTGTCCTCCAGGAAGAAGGTGGCTTTCAGCAACGTTTCTGGGCAAGGGAAGAAAAATAGTTTTGGTAAAATATCTGCCACAGCTCCTTGGTTTCACATCTTGCTTTTTCCCCAGGAGCTACCAGCAGCAGGTTCTTTCCTGCCTTCCTCTCCAGAACCATGCTGGGTAGGTTGGGCTGTGCCTGAAGTGAGCCAGGAGAGTCCCTGGGCCCCCAAGCCCCCCACCCTCCAAGGGAGGACCCCTGCCAGGCGCCCAAGAGCTTTCCAGCCAAGCTCAGGCCAGTGCTGGGCCCAGGCTCGAGCGGCCAGCCTAGGTAACAAGTCAATGCCGGCCGGGGCCGCAAGTCTGCCCTGCCTCAAGGGCTTCGCAGGAAAGGCTCGTGCGAAGGCGCGCAAAGGGCCGAAGGAAGGCCTCCGTCGGCCGGTTACCTTCCACGCGGTTTCCTCGCTGCCCGTGCTGCATTATCCGCTCCCAGGCCTGGGGGGCCACCTGCATCCCTGCCACATCCCGGTAGCTCAGCGAGAGCAGCAGCAGCTGCGCTTCCAAGTACCTTGGCGAGGTTAGTTAAGGAAAGCTCAACCGCCCGCCCGACCTTCCGTCCTTCCTTCCCCGCGCGCGGAAGAGGTGAAGGATACACCACGTGGTAGAGCGCCTCGGCGTCCAACAGCCCGACCACCAGGTCGGCCCAGGCCGGGAAGGGTGCGCGGGGCTGCTGGGCTGGGGCCGCGTCGGGGCCCCCGAGCGCCAGCAGCGGCACCAGACACGCGCCGACGGCCTCCCGAGGCTCCAGTAGCGCCGGCCTGCCAAGAGAAGAGAAGGGGAGAGGAGGGAGGCGGCGGCTGGGCTGGGCCCAACCGGGAGTGGGGAAAGGGGGCGCCGGCCCTCACCCTTACAGCTTCTCCTGGCGCAGCTCCGCTAGCAGGGCCTCCATGCCCGCCCGCTGCTTCAGCCGCAGCCGCTCCGGCAGGCGCGTGAAGGCCCGCAGCGGCGTCTCCCCAAAAGACACCCTCCGCGCCGCCTCCGCCTGCAAGGCCACATTGCCCAGGGTCCGCAGCAGCGGCAAGCAGGCGGCCAGAGTGTCCCGCCAGCCCTGGTGCTGCTCACGGAGGACGCGCAGCCCCGACCGGAGACCGCCCCGCAGCCGCGCCGCTTCCTCCGCCTCCATCATCGCCAGTGTGGCCTCGCCCCTCCCCGCTGCCATTCGCGGACAGCTCGGCTTCTTCAGCTGCCGCCGATTACTGTTAGCTTTTATTTAAGGGATTGTAGGACTCCCAAGATCCCTCTCGGAGCCACTGGCGTTAAGCCAAGTTTCTCCTACTTTGAACTTCTACAGCTGGTTTTTCTTGCCTAAGTGTAAAAAATCTCCAACTGTAACCGACGATTATCCTGCTATTAAAGGAACATGAGGTCGTAAGTGTGCACCTTGCCTAGGACCAAGCTTGTCTTGTTGCAACTTCTCCTGAGCAACACCTTCATGACTTGTGGCATCCTTAAAGTTTGTTTTGTGAAACACACAAGCAATCTGACCTTGAACATTTATAATTTCTGGAAGCAAGCTGATTTTTCATCTTGTCTCTGACTCAGAAAATTTCTAAATCCAGAGGCACCAAGGATCATGGTTTTTTGGTATTGTAATGTACATGTATTAATATTGGGAAAAATTACAGTGGCATTTCCATAAATGCATAGGTGTGCCTCGTTTTATGGAAATTCGGATGCAGAATTCCAAATGTGGTCTAACAAAGCAGTAGAAAACTGCAGTATACTTCATTGGCATTTTTGGAAGCTGCAGCACATTGCTGCCTAGGACTGCTGGATCCTTCTGTTAAGCCAGGTACCAACTATTCTACACCTGCAATTTTGGTTTTTGTTGCCTAATTCTAAAGCCATAGTTTTCTCAGCAGTGAATTTCATTTTTTTTATAGGTCTCAGTATTCAAGTGTGTCAAGATCCCTTTGCATCTTGACCTTATCTTTTGAAGTAGGGGTCACCAACCTTTTGGACCTCAGGGACCACTAAATTCATAATTTTAAATCCCACAGATACTAATATGAATCCAGTGCTTTCTCCCCCCCCCCCTTCCTGGTTTCTCTCTCCCCCCTTTCTCATCTCTCTGTCTCTCTCTGATTCTGATTCTCCAGTGGTCGCTGGGTCTTGCAGGCTCTTCTTCCGGCCTTTGTTGGTGCTGGATGCACCTCGGTCACTTGGAGAAACACAACCTGCTCTCCGCCCCGAGACACTCTCCTGACCTGGCTGTGGCCGGTACTCCTCAGCTCCAGAAGGAGGTGTCGTCTCCCCCCCCCAATTGTAAAGCATGCTAAATTTAACTGTGCTGCACAAGGCGCTATGAGAGCAGTGGGAGGCCATGGAGGTGCCAACAGCAGTGGTGGAGAGAAACAGCTGGGCCAGGCCAGTGTTTCGGAGTGGAGAGGAAGTTGTGCATCTCCCTGAGCGATTGAGGTGTGCACAGCGCCAAAAAGGGCCAGAAGAAACGCCCGTGAGACCCAGCAAGAGATGAAGCAAGTATAGGGGTGCTTTGCTCCCGCTCTGGAATATCCGTCTCCCACCCTTACCTTCTCAGGCCAGGTGAAGAGTGACTGTGAGGGGAGAGGCGGGGCCAGTCAGTGGTGGGTTCAGCTGACAGGGAGCCACAGCAGGGGGATGAAAGAGCCACAGGTTGCCAACACCTGTTGCTTCGGCCTACCTGTGCTGCCACACACACACATCCTTGCCACAACAGCACCATTACCTTGTTCCAGCTGGAGAGGGCTCTACTATTACTTGCACATTGTGCCACCTGCAAAGTTGCACATTGCACATACTACCCTTTACGGCAGAGATTTCCAGCCCCACGAGCTGCCTGGCCCATCCTTTATTCCAGAGCTCTAAGTCACAGGAGTGGCCCATTGGTCATTCCGGAGCAGCTCCTCCACCCACTGCAGACCACCAAAGTTTTCTCACGGACCACCGGTGGGTGACCACTGTTCTAAAGCAGTGGTCCCCAACCCCTACTCCATGAGATCGTATCAGTCTGCAGCATGGCAGAAACTGGGCTGCGCAAACAAGCAAAGCCCCATCCGCAGGATGCAGGCAGCAGATGAAACCACACCCGGGCCAGTTCCCAGAAAAATATCTCTCCATGAAACTGGTCCCTTGTGCCCAATAGGTTGGGGGCAGCTGTTCTAAAGCCTAATTTTTTAAACTCATTTAGAGTGAATAATGTCCTACAATTTTTAAAAAATATATTATTGACTTGTATTCCTAATCTATCTTTTACGATTCTGCTTTTAGTAGGTTGGACAATTTTTTCCTTTTTTGTAAAGACACATGCAAACAATGAATTAAGCAGTTCTGTTATCTCCCTGCTGTCACCTCCTTGCCATCTTCTCTCATTGGTGGACTGATCATATTTTGTTTCTACATGTTGAAAAAAACTTTTAAAATTATTTTAAAGCTTGTTGCAAGTCTTAGTTCATTCTGAGTCTTAACTTTCCTGACTATCTTTGCAAATTCTAGCTTTATGCTGGTATTCTGCTTTAGTTATGTTTCCTTCTTTCCACTTTTATACTTGTGTTTCAGTTTATGAGAAAGTTCTTTATGCAATCTTGCTGGTTTCTTCTTTTTCAGTGTACTATGCTAGACTGAGCTTTTATATTTTTCAGTTTCTCAAGTTTCTTGTTTTCCCCTTAACAATTTATGGAAACCTTCCCAAACTCCTTTGTTGAAATAAACTCTTTTAACATCTCTAAGACATTTGTTTGATTTTATTCTATTGTTTGTGTCTGCATTACAGGTGAAACTAGAAAAATTAGAATATCATGCAAAAGTTCATTTATTTCAGTAATGCAACTTAAAAGGTGAAACTAATATATGAGATAGACTCATTACATGCAAAGCAAGATAGTTCCAACCATGATTTGTCATAATTGTGATGATTATGGCTTACAGTTCATGAAAACCCCAAATCCACAATCTCAGAAAATTAGAATATTGTGAAACGGTGCAATATTCTAGGCTCAAAGTGTCCCATTCTAATCATCTGATTAAGCCATAACACCTGCAAAGGGTTCCTGAGCCTTTAAATGGTCTCTCAGTCTGGTTCAGTTGGAACCACAATCACAGGAAAGACTGCTGACTTCACAGTTGTGCAGAAAGCCATCATTGACACCCTCCATAAGGTGGGAAAGCCTCAAAAGGTAATTGCAAAAGAAGTTGGACGTTCCCAAAGTGCTGTATCAAAGCACATTAATAGAAAATTATGTGGAAGGGAAAAATGTGGAAGAAAAAGTTGCACAAGCAGCAGGGATGACCGCAGCCTGGAGAGGATTGTCAGGAAAAAGCCATTCAAAAGTGTTGGGGACTTTCACAAGGAGTGGAATGAGGCTGGAGTCAGTGCATAAAGAGCCACCATGCGCAGACGGATCCTGGACATGGGCTTAAAATGTCGTATTCCTCTTGTCAAGCTGCTCCTGAACAACAAACGTCAGAAGCGTCTTATCTGGGCTAAAGAAAAACAGACGTGGCCTGTTGCTCACTGGCCCAAAGTCCTCTTTTCTGATGAGAGCAACTTTTGCACCTCATTTGGAAACCAAGGACCCAGAGTATGGAGGAAGAATGGAGAGGCACACACTGCAAGATGCTTGAAGTCCAGTGTGAAGTTTCCAGAGTCAGTGTTGCTTTGGGGAGCCATGTCATCTGCTGGTGTTGGTCCACTGTGCTTCATTAAGTCCAGGGTCAACGCAGCCATCTACCAGGAGATTTTGGAGCACTTCATGCTTCCTTCCATAGATGAGCTTTATGGGGATGCTGACTTCATTTTCCATCAGGACTTGGCACCTGCCCACACTGCCAAAAGCACCAAAACCTGGTTCAATGACCATGGGATTACTGTGCTTGATTGGCCAGCAAACTCGCCTGACCTGAACCCCATGGAGAATCTATGGGGCATTGCCAAGAGAAAGATGAGAGACATGAAAGCAGAAGGCTGCTGTTGAAGCATCCTGGTCTTCCATAACACCTCAGCAGTGCCACAGGCTGATAGCTTCCATGCCACACCACATTGAGGCAGTAATTGCTGCAAAAGGAGCCCAAACCAAGTACTGAGTACATATGCATGCTTATACTTTTTTCAGAGTCGATATTGTTCTATGTACAATCCTTGTTTTATTGATTGCATATAATATTCTAATTTTCTGAGATTGTAGATTTGGGGTTTTTCATGAGCTATAAGCCATAATCATCACAATTATGACATCATGACTTGAACTATCTTGCTTTGCATGTAATGAGTCTATCTCATGTATTAGTTTCACGTTTTAAGTTGCATTACTGAAATAAATGAACTTTTGCACGATATTCTAATTTTTCGAGTTTCACCTGTATGTTGAATTCCAAAATCACATGATCATTCTCCCCCAAAGTTCAACCCCTGCTATAATTTCATCTGTTAGTGAGAATTAAGTCCAGTATAGATGGACTTAATGGTTCCCTTCTCTACCTGTTGGGAGACAAAGTTATCTGGTGGGTTCATCAGGAACTTGTTTGATATTCCATTGGTGTAGTTTGTTTCCCAGTTGATATCAAGGTAGTTAAAATCCCCCATTACTCTTGTAGTGTACTCTTCAAATTTTGACCTGACCATTCAATAACAAAGTTACAATGGCCTTCAAAAACTGACTTATCAGCTATCTTTGAAGTTACAACTGTTGCACTCCTATTGTGCACATGATCACTCACATTTATGATGATTGCAATTTACAACCTTCCCAGCCAACGTCTGACAAGCAAAGTCAAATGGAAAAATCTAGATTTGCTTAATAGGATCTGGTCACATGATGACTCACTTAATGATTGCATCACTTAGCAACTAAAAGTCTGATCCCAATTGTGGTTGTTAATCAAGGACTACCTGTACATGCTCCATTAGACAGACTTATCTGCCAAGACCTTGAATTGGCTGAGCATTGAGTAAGGAGCACTTGACTTCAATAAACCTCATCAAAGGGAAAAACTGGGAGCATTAAGAAGCTCAAAGATAAAACTAATGTTGAAGAAGAAATTGGGTTGTGAATGGCAAAGCTCTGTCCTAGCTGAGGCCTTTCCTTATCCCTGCGTTCAAATATGTTCAACTTTCGGTTTTAGAAACACTATAAATTTTATGGTTGACAGAGCTAATTTTGT